TGGCTGACTAAATACTTTTTTGCCCCACTGTATACCAACGCTTTTTCCATTGCTGCATATTTTTCAATTTTAGTTTCCCAATGCTGCAATGACAGCAAGGTTTCTCTTTTCCAGCGTTGTGCTAGATTGATTCTTGCTGCTGTCACCATGTCTCTTAATAAATCATTATGCTTTTCATTTATGTTCTCTGGAGTCATAGATAATAAAAATATTTGTGGCTTTAATTTGAGTTTTATTTTCAGAATTTTCTGCATGTTTTGGTGGTTTGGTATATTTCTTTCCAGTACTTTTCTTTTCTTTTCTTTTTTACATAAGTACCACATATGATAAAACATTTTGTACCAATTTTTGCTTTTTATTGTTCCAGTTATTTGCAAATACATTAACCATGGTAGAGTTCTTCTTTCATTAAGAAATTCTTGTTGTGTCTGTAGTCTGTTTTTTGTGTCCAGATGTATCATACTGGCACATGCAATCAGATCTTTCTTACTATAATTACCTTTGAAATAGAAAGCATTTGATGGTGATGTTAGTGGTGAAATTGTTAGGCTTATCCTTGCTTTTTGGGAATTCCAAAATTTTTAACAGACTTTCTCTTATATGATCCTTCAGATTCTTGTCTTCTTTTGTTTCCTTATACCATAAATATCTGTGAAGCCCATTGGCTAAATCTGCTCCTTCTGTAGTTGATATTCTGTTATTTGGAAATATTGTCCATTCTGCTATCCATGATAGAAGCTTGCTCTGTAATGGAATCTGAGATTGGAAAAAGCTAATTCATCTTTCTTTTACGACTTGCAAAATTTTGAATTTTGCTCTTGTTTTTCCCATTCCGTATAAATCTATTAATTGTTCTTTGCCAATCCTGCAATGTTTTCTCTGAGATTTGAATTGCTGCCATTTGAAATAAGAAGTTTATCTTAGGTAATACATCCATTTTTTATTGGTGCCATAAGCCCCAGCTAGGAAAGTTTTGAACTTTTTCACCTTTCTGTGAAAAGTGTTTTATTTTTATCCATTGTTTATTGTATTTGTTTTGAAATATCTTAAAAAGTCTTTGAAAGTCTTAACTATTTACCTGAATCTTTTGTTATCTCATAGCCAGTTTCTTTTTTCACAAAATTTTCTTTCTCAGAAGTTAAGTGCCTTACTGTTCCTTTTCATTGATTTTGTATCTGGAAAAGTAATCAAAATCTTTGATTACTTGTATCGACTGCTATATGGAGTTTTGTGGTTACATGATTGTTAATACTACATCATCTGCACAACATTTCATCTTCTGTTTCTCTCCTTGAATTTTGATACCTATTATCTGTTTATTTTTTCAGATCTTGTTGGCCAAGACTTCCAGAGCAGTTACAAATAGTAAAGGGCAGAGTGGACACCCTTGCCTTGTGCCTTTGCTAATTGAAAAGCTTGCAGAGAATGTTCCATTCACTGTAATCTTTGCTGTTTGCCACTGACATTATTCTCTCCACCCAAGTTTTGAATTCTTCTCCAGGGTTCATTTTGTTATCATTCTAATAGAAAAAAAGTCCATTCCAAATTGTCAAAGGCTTTTTCCGCATTTAGAAATATTATTGCTGCCTTCTTTTACTTAATATTGATACATTCTAGTGCATTTATGATAAATCTGCTGTTATCTTTCATTTTCCATTTTGGAATGTGATCTGTATGTATCATTTCTCAAATGCGCTACCTCAGCTAGGATAGTAGTAAATATCAAATATGTAATTGACATTTAGTAAAAAAATTGGTCTATATTACTGAGGTTCTTCAGATTATTCCCTTTGTGTATTCATGTTAAATATGCCTCTTCCCACATCTTTAGAATTGTTTTTGTTATTTGAATTTCATTCATTGTCTTTAACAGTGGTTCTACTAGTTCTTCTACTTTTTTATAGTATAGAGCTTTACTAATTTTAATGTTCTTTATTGCTTCTTTAATCTCTTGGATTGTTATTAATTTGCTTAAAATTTCTCTGTTTTTTAGTAAATTTTTAAGCACTGAGTTTTCAATATATGCTTCTAAATTTCTTTTGTCCTTAAAAATTTTTGCAAGTTCTTCTGCTGTTTCTGATCTTGTATGTAATAGTTTATTATCTTTCTCTATCACTCTTATCATCCTTTTTTCTTTCTCTTTCCAAATTTTATATACCCGATGTTTCCCTGATTTACTTGCATTTTCAAAATAATTTTGTTTGGTGCATTTTGTCTTCTTTTGGAGTTTTGCTGTTTACAATAAATCTAATTGTTGTTTAAATGTATTTAATTCTTCCAATGTTTGTCGATTTGGTTTGGTTTTATGAATCTGTTCTGATTCCTTTATTTTCTCTTCCAATTGTGATTTCCACCTGCTGTGTTCTTTTTCTGGTGTGCTGCAAGCCTTATTGAGGTTCCTCTCATATAAGCTTTAGATTGACTTCCATATAGTTGTCTCTGTCATCCCTGTAGTATTTATTTTAAAAAAAAATTAAATTATTGTTTGCATTTTCGCAAGATACTTTCATGAAGTAACAACTTTTCCTTCATCTTCTATCTACTAAATATTTTTTCTCCCTGAAACCAAGGTATTAAAATTGGAGCATGTTCTGTATATATCACTGAGCAGATTTGCACTTCTTTGATAGATGGCGTGAAAGCCTTAGCTGGTATACTTTCTTGATGATTATCTATTTCCTGTACATGTTAGTTTTAACTCATAGTCAAAAACCTTTCTGTAGTATCTTGAACTCCAGGTTAATGTGATTACTTCTTCCCACAGTTCCCATTACATTTACCTGTTCAACCAGCTCTTCCTTCTTTGTTAAGATCAGTCCTAGAGAGCCATTATTTTGTCTTTTCTTTAATCTTCTGAAATATGCAACAGGCAGCAAGACCACTGAGGAATGTTTGGAACCTTACAGTCTTGGCTGTACATCCAACAGATGCCCAGGCAGTGGAAGCGTCCCATTATTACTATGCCTCTTATCCCTGAAAGTTCTGCAGTGTGGTCCAGGAAGGCATTATCCAGATCTTCTGCCTGGCTTCGCAGTCTGTAATTCACTCCCACAATAAAACCTTTATTGTTTTCCCTTCTTCATAGTTTTACCTGAACATTCTTACCTGGACTCTCATGCTAAAATTCCTAGAACTCAAATGCATATGTGCATATCCATCTCATATAATGCCACCCCTCCACTTCTTTCATCTGGCCTATTCCTTTAGAATAAGTTACAGGTAGTCCTCGCTTAATGACCTTAATTGGGACTGGCAACTCTGCCGCTAAGCAAGGTGGTCGCTAAGTGGGAAATCACATTACCTCAACTGGGCTTTCCAGCTGGAAAGAGCCAAAACTACTCAGTTTTACACCTTCAGCTTCTGTTTGCCTCTTAACCATTCTCCTGCTCTTTGGAATATTCAAGTGCCTGCTTGTGCACACTGAACGCAATGCAATCACACCGCAGCCTGGAGCTGGGAGTTGCAGGTGCACTACGCAAACAGCTTACTCTCTTGAAATCTCTTTGTCTCCAGTCTCTCCACTCTGCAGTGGGGGGGGGGGGGGGGGGGAGCAAGGGATTTCTGTAGATATTCTCTCCTTTGCCTGATCCTTTCCTGCTGCTGGCACAGTCGCATTGCTTTCAATGTGTAGAGAGCAAACGGCTTACTCTCTTGAAGTCTCTTCCTCTCCAATCTCTCTGCTCTGTGGGGGGGTGGGGAGAAGCGTCAGGCAAAGGAGAGATTATCTACCAAAATCACTTGCTCTCTGCCTGTCTTTTTTTAATCTTCTGAGAGGCGCTTTGGTGCTGTTCACTGTCCTCATACATCTGGGTCTATTCTAAGAATTCCACATCTTCCGTGATTAGGGACAATTGGTTTGTAGCTCCTTTACCTTCTCTTCCAAGAGGGCAATTAGTCTTCATTTGCAGCCATATATAATTCCTGTTATCTTCAGGGAGAAAACCAAACATGACATGTCCCCCTCCAGCTTACAAGAGCAGTTTTATCGTTTGTTCCCTTGTGTTGAAATCCATTGCAAAACTCCTGTTTGCTCTCCCTTCTCACTTGCTCAGAGAGCATAATATAAAAGCGTGTCACTTTTTTTTATGGGTTATTTGATCATAGCCAAGGAATAGCAGATAGTCTGACAGTAATTTGTGCAGTAATTATGTTTCATAACAGGGAAATGGTCAGAAACCCAGGAGGCTTGCTAAACTGTTGCAAAAACACACACCTTTGCAGAAATTTGAGGAAGAAATGGAAACAACTTCAGATTTCTTTCTGGCTGTTGGCTAAGTGCTATAATATAACTGAACTCTTAACTTCAAGCTCCACAACTCACTTTGATTGCATAAGTATCCATTATTGGTACAAAAGTCTGTGTCTTTCAGTAAAACAAAGATTCAGAGAAGTAGGCAAATTAGGCCAAGGTATGAATTGCCTGATCTAAATGGATCTGTTCAGTCTGTTGCCACCTGAAGAAAAGTTGTATCCAAAGTTATGCCAACTGGCCTTAGACACACAGGGCACATACATATGGTTCAAAAAAAAAAGTCATTATGAGAAAAAGTGGAGAAAGGAGTGGAGGAATAAAGTTAACACTTCCTAAATTGTGCTCACCACCCCTGTAATCTGGAAAGTATAAAAGGAACTCAGTACTTAACTCCACTCTCCTGTGAAAGTGTATTACGGTTCCTTTTTTCCCCCTATTTTTCTTTCAGTGGAGAGAGGGAAAATGGAGTAACTATATAGCTTTTGTCCTGTTCTGTAACTACATGACTTCTTGTGTCTTGGAGGAGTGAGATTAAAAAAGAATGAAAAGATGCTTTGACCAGTCATGGTAATTAAGCTTGTATATTTCCACTGCAGGCTATAGAGAAGCATCTTATCAGAAAGTCTAATGGGGGCCTAACTTTTATTGGGGAATGGAAGAATGGGCACCTCGAGAGAAAGATGGGCCATCTCACATGCTTTGCTGGGGGAATGTTTGCCCTTGGAGCTGATGGTTCCCGAGATGATAAGGCCGGACATTACCTACAGCTTGGAGCAGAAATTGCACATACATGCCATGAATCCTATGATAGGACAAGTAAGTATCCTTGCTTACTTTAAGTTTTGGATTGTTTTCCTGAGAGTTGCTTTTGCAGTTGTAGCAAGGTTGAATTGAAGCAGCTTGAATGTATAAGCAGAATTCTGTGAAGAGGAGGTTTCAACTCCTGAATCAGGTATTTTAGTTTAAATAAGAATATGCTGCTGGATGTATTGAATATAACTTTGTCCCCACCCCCACCCCAAAATACTTCACCATTTCTATTTGCACCTAACTGTGGGAAAGCTAACAGATGCTGTGATTATATTCAATAATAACTTCCTGTAATAGGAGAAACCAGAATAGTAGGAAGTTCTTCCTGTTAGTTTCAGATCATTTCTCTGGGCCATGCTACTTCTTCTTGCACCCACTGAACAACTGCTCTGCCTGTTTCCTACACTCTCCCACAGGAGGAAAGGCAGACTGTAAATCTTACTAATCTATAAGCTGCTACAACAGTCAAACATACATGGTTTTGCAATGAAATAACATTGTTAAACAATTTGGGAGCAAACTCATACTCTGGCCAAGCAGTCCCCTTAAACACTAGAGACCCCTCCCCTTTTTTTTTTTGGACTTCGCAAGGTATTTTTTAATAATATAATATAATATAATATAATATAATATAATATATAATATTTGGTGACAGTAGTTTTAATTGCAGTGGAATACACACTATATATTTTTATATATATAACTCATATATATTATTTTTCAAAAAATATTTTAATATATGCTTAATACATAAATTTATTTGCACAAAAATCTTACATAAATATTGGTAGATGTTCTTTAATTATTCCTTTCTCTTACATGAAAGACTTATAGAATTTTTCTGTTCCATCTGAGAATAGCGTGGATTTATCAAGTTAAGGAAGGAAATAACTTCATGGTAGTTGTATCGTACATCTTGCATACAAAAGGCATGATGGAGTTGCATTACTATTTCATGTAGGTATTCTGTCTCCTATAGAAGCTATTTGGGTAGGCGGAAAAGCCTATAGTGCAAAAGGAACAGGAAAGCTTCACTGCAGCTATCTGTCTGTGTCAGTTTATCTCTCTAGCATTAAAAAACAAGCCCCCAGCTAGTGCTGTTAGACCTACCACCCCACCAGGAGGAAAAGCCTGACTTTAGGACAAGGTAGGCAGTAGAAGTTGCTCCAACAGTATGACAGTAAGGATCTGGTTGGCTCTCCCCTCCATTTCCCCCCATCGCTCTTTCCAAGATGAAAAGAGCTGTCGCTAGCTTTGATACCATGGCATCTCCTCATGGGAGTTGAACTATGATAATTGCCAGGAAAACGTACTGATGAAGAGAGAGAGTGGAAGCTGTATTTCAGTTCCCAAGATTTCACACAGGAGAAGTTGGCAGCATCTCCTTTCACAGTTAAATTCTAGGCAGAGAAGGTGGGGAAAGTCCATGGTGGGTCTCTCCAACCCAGACAACTAAGGTAAGATTTTGCTTTTTGAAGGAGATAAAAGGGGGAAATTTAGGGCTCCACCCAGGGGCCCCAAATCCAAGTTACAGATTTCAGAGTTTGAAAGGAGTTGTATGGTGACCATTTTGGGATAAGCAGTCTCTGCTCCTTCCTCCATAAAAGTTCTGTAGATAGAAATTCACTTTTTGTTTCAATATTTTCATACACAGAGCCAAAATCCTTCAAGGTTAGAGCTAAAAAACAGAGAAAATATGGATATAAAACATCAATGAGTTCTCTGTTCACTTATTGTTCCCTAAGTATATGAATCTTAGAGTATGTTAAATGCTTCTTAATTATTCTACAACCATGCATACACTCAAAATGCTGAAGTGAATTTAGATTTCTGTCAAGCTGTAAAAGACCTGACCAGATCCACAAGAACTATCACAACTATTTCTGTGACCATTAAAAGCAAAATCTATTAACGTTTCCTTTAGAGTAGCACTGTTGAACTTAGAAGTTATATAAGAGTATGCTGGATTAATTTTCTTCGTTTTCCTTTGCAGCTTTAAAACTGGGCCCTGAAGCTTTCAAATTTGATGGTGGTGTGGAGGCAGTAGCAGTGCGGCAAAATGAAAAATACTACATATTGAGGCCGGAGGTGATTGAGACCTATTGGTATATGTGGCGATTCACACATGATCCTAAGTACAGACAGTGGGGCTGGGAGGCAGCACAGGTAACTATTAACTAATCTTCTAAAAGAAACCCACAAAGTTTACCTGCCAGCCTCATATTGCTCATAGTAAGAAATCTAAACCATGATGCATGTTGTTTTTTCTAGATAGTTTCCTGTGTTATCTTAAAGACCTAAGGAAAAATGGCTTAGGGACATCCGATGAGTGAGAATACTGGGACAAAAGACTTCCAGTGTCTCTTTCGTATTGCCCACAAAATGTTTTTTATCTTACATTAAGATTAAAAAAAGAATTCAAAATTTTCTTTAGAATAATCCATTGAATTATAAAATGAGCATTGCAATTAAAAATTAGGCCTTTTTTTGCCATGGAGGCTTGTTCCAGACGTAGCTTAGCAGCTGAGCAGCACAAGAGAAGAGTCTGTTTCAGGCTGCTTCCGAGAAGGGGAGCCAGGATTAGATTTCCCTCACAATAAGAAGAAGTAGTATGCCAAATAGAGGCTGCTTTGTAGAAAAAAGGTTTGCATGGGGTGCTGCAGGGTTTGGTACTCTCCACTCCTTTTTAACGTGTACATTGAAACCACTGGGTGAGATCATCTGCCACCGTGGGATGAGGTATGATCAATATACAGATGATACCCAGTTATACATCTCCATCCCAGGTGATGTGAGTGATGCTGTGACCACTCTTTCATGGTGCCTGGAGGCTGTGGGGGTCTGGATGGGGTGCAACAGGCTTCAGCTGAACTCTGGTAAGACAGAGTGGCTCTGGATTGGAGGCCTCTCGGTAACTGGGGATTTACCATCTTTGGTTTTGGACAGGGTTGCACTGCCCCAGACAGACCCGGTGTGTAATCTGGGGGTCCTCCTGGACTTAGAACTCCTGCTAATGGAGGAGGCAGTTGTGGCCAGGAGGGCCTTTGCCCAACGTGTGGGGTGCCAGTTACTCCCTTTTCTGTATCAGGAGGCTCTCTGGTCATCTCTCGGTTAGACTATTGCAATGCGCTGTACATGGGGCTACCCTTGAAAGTATCTGGAAGCTACATCTGGTTCAAAAGGTGACTGCACGGACAATCTTAGGTGCTTCGAGAATGGCACAATAAACACCTTTACTGCGGGGGCTGCATTGGGTGCCAGTTTGCTTCCGGGTCCAATTCAAGGTGTTGATTATTACCTTTAAAGCCCTACATGGCATGGGTCCAGGTTACCTGAGGGACCGTCTCACCCCCATTACATCAACCTGTCCCATCTGGTCAGGCAGAGAGGGCATGTTGCATACCCCGTCAGCGAGAGAATGTTGGCTGGTGGAGCCCAGGAAGAGAGCCTTCTCTGCCATTGCTCCCGCCCTTTGGAATATTCTCCCCCCCAGAGGTGCGGCAAGCCCCTACCTGGCTTTCCAGAAAGGATTAAAGACCTGGCTCTGCCATCTTGCGTGGGGTGACAAGAATCTTACCCAGTCCTGGGGGTGGCTGGTGCCTTGATGATGTTCCCTGAGCTACTGCCAGTTTAACATCTATTCTTGGATTATATTTATTTTCTACTTATTCAGGATCATTTTTATTGTATTTTTAATTGATTTTAACTGCTTTGTAAAGCTCCCAGAGTCATTTTTAATGAGATGGGCAGTGACAAATGTGATAAAAAAATACATACATACATACATGTACTTTTGAAACTTTTTAAAAAGGAATATTCAGATAACCTCAGTGCATTCTAATAGAGGGACCATGGACCTCTCCTTATTATTGAAGAAGCTCCTCTATTTCTAAAAGGGCTGTTTTGGATTCCAGTTAATCTTGAGTTCATCTGCGTCTAATAACTTTGGAAGGGAAATGCTTCAAGAAATTTTGAAATATGAAATAATCGAGTTAGGGAAAGCATGCAAGGCATAGCACCTGGCATTTTTTCCAGTTCCAACGCCTTTTAAAATAGCTCTGCTCTAGGCCACGCGGATGGAAAGAAAGAGGGAGGGGGCTTGGAATGGAACAGTAGGCAGCATTCCAGGCCATTATTTGTCTCCCAGGGGGATGCACTGGGGGACTTTTTCTTGGATTTTTTTCCTCTGCAGCTCATACATAGCTGGATTCAAACATTTTCAGACATGATCATCTTCTCCCTACGTATCAAATTTAATCTAATTCTGTTCTGTTTTCAGAGAGTTATTCTGCTGATGGACAAACTCTCAAGCCACTTTATTTCATTTCTTTCCAGCATTCTTAGTGTGTCTCATATAAAGAATCAAACATACAAATATGAGAAAACAGAAATATTAATGCTTACTGATCTGCTACGCTCATTTTATGAAGGAATAGTTATCTATTTTATCCTTCCAGCTATGGATCATTCTATTTCCATTTTTTTCTTAAACTATACTGCTCTCAATATTTCTTCTCATATCTTTGTTCTGGATGCTTATATTCTTTTTGAGCAAGAACAAGAGAGAAGGACAGCTGATGCAAAGTTACAAGACCACCTTACAGCTATTTTTCACACAATTCAATTGCAGAAATGTTAATTTTGTATGGCACAGTTGTTCATACTTTAAGAGTACTCTACAGGTAGTCCTTGCTTAATGAACATTCATTCAGTGACTGTTCAAAGTTACAGTAGCACTGAAAAAAGGGACTTATGACTGGTCCCCAAAGTTACGGCTGTTGCAGCGCCCCCGCGATCACATGTTCAAAATTTGGGTGCTTGGCAGCCTGCCTGCACTTAAGACTACAGGGGTGCTTCAACTACCCCCACCAACCTGTCTTCCCCCATCTATGCTCTTTTGGCCTCCTGCATGCGGCCCCTGCTGCCCTAGCTGACCTTCACTGTCTTCTTGCTCCTGCTGGTAACCAACCATGCCCAGCCTGGCCCTTCATGAGACAGCTGCTTGCCGCACAAGGCTTTCTTCTTTGTGCACAGTAGTTTCCTTGTGAGAGCTGGGGAAGATGGCCTCACATGGCCAGCAGCTGCCTTGCAAAGGGCCAGGCCAGGCACGCCTTGTCAGCAGCAGGAGCAAGAAGACAGTGAAGGTCAGCTGGGGCGGTGGAGCACAGGGTGGCAGGGGCCGCAGAGTGCAGGGTGGCGAGGGTGACTGTGGCTGGGTTGGGCTGAGTCGGCTGAGACTTCCTGGGGTGGTTGCAGCTTTGCACCGCACTGCTGGGGGAGCTGGAGCTTCCCAGGGCGGTTGCAGCTTTGCACTGCACTGCTGAGGCAGTTGGGGCTTCCTGGGGCGGCTGCGGCTTGCACAATTCTGAGCCATGCAGTTCTGGGGCTGCTTGCCACCCTGCAAGGCAGGATGTAGGGCAGCCAAAAGGGCAGAGATGGAGGGGGGATAAGCAGTTGCGGGGAGTAGAAGGGGAGACAGTCCCTGACCTTGGAAGAACTGAGGCTCAGGGCTGGGAGGGACCAAGCCCAGAATGGCTTGGATTGGGGTGGGTCCTCGGCTAACGACCAGTGGAATTTGGTTAACAGTGGCAATGGGGAGTGTCAGGATTGCCTTCGCTAAGTGATGCAGTCATGTGACGTCACACTTTACGACTGCTTAGTGATGGAAATTCCGGTCCCAATTACCATCGTAACTCGAGGACTACCTGTATTTCTATATAGTCATAGCAGAGATTGTTAATTTTGTCTTTACTTTTGTCATTGCCATAATACATGGAGTCATGCCATTCTGCTGAAATTGAAATTTAGGATTGAGTTGAGAAGTACCACTTGTAGATTTCTCAGCTCTCCTGAGACAGCATAAACCAGGAATTCTGATATTCGCCATCTCCCCAAAGCCAAACTGGTTTGCCCTTGCATAAACCAGTCAAAGAGATTCATTGCTAAATGCCATTGGCTGTTAGATTTGCTATATAATGAATATTTTTATCTCAAACAGTGACATAAAGTAGATAGAGGAATATCATTTCCCTTTTAGACATACTTCATATAACAAACCTTTCAGCAGTATTGTGGAGGCAATCAAACGCAAATATAATTGAAATGCTGATAAAATGATTCTAAGAGCAAGAAGCCTTTCATGCCTTGAGGCAGACACTTAATGCATTGTTTCTGATCTCAGTACTGTATCTATTGCTTGAAAATACAAAAATAGCCCTGTACAAAACTTGAGAGTTGGGTTCCAAGGTCCTATTGCTTTGCAGATAGACTGTTGTTTTATCATGTAGTTAAAACTATCCAGTGTAAATTCTGCTCTGTTGCTTTCCTTTCATTTCTGGCTGTATCATATCTGTATTGTTTGAATATGCACCAGCTATATCCAATTTTGAACTGCTGGCTAATAAAGCATTCATTCTGTTTGTTCCACTTAAACAGGCCATTGACAAATACTGCCGAGTGAGTGGTGGATTTTCTGGAGTCAAGGATGTCTATTCCTCAGCTCCTACATATGATGATGTGCAGCAAAGCTTCTTTCTTGCTGAAACTCTAAAGTAAGTTGATTTTTCTCCATATTTGTTTCAGCAAGCTTGAAAATTCAAGTTCTTGGAAGAAATATCCAGCACTTATATTTTAATATAAGTATTATAGAAAATAGATTTTTATATTTATGAAATATATAATAAACATATATTTTATATGCATATTCAGGTGGTTTAACTATGGTAGTTAAGAATTGTGAATGGAAATGCTGAGCTATAGAGATATAGAGAATAAAAATAGTTGGATAGGAAAATTACTTCATAAAATGGCTGTAAACTGGTTGATATATCACTGCTGGACATTTTATCCCACCAGGCTACTAATGTATATGACTACAGTCTCCTTTTTATTTTTACTTTTCCCCCTTCCCAAATAAAAGGAATTATAATTTATTCTGCAACACCTACACAAGGAAAAGATGCCCTTTATCCTGTGTAATTTCTGCAAGAATGCCATCCGCTCTTATGGATAGTATTTTGGGGTAAGAATGGGGATGGTATGAAACATATTGGCTGTATCTCATAATATTACACATTGAAATCTTGCCTGGATGAATATAGTGAAAACCCAGATATTACAATTGTGCCAGAAGAGGTTGGAGTAGGAATTGTACAAGTGTACAGAATTTAGGATTTCTTGACACATTAGTCTGAATAGTCTCACTGGTATCTTGTGTGTATCATCTATAGTGACAGATCTTGTTTCTCTTACTTTGTAGGTATTTATATCTGCTCTTCTCCAACGATGATCTCTTACCTTTGGATCACTGGGTTTTTAACACAGAAGCTCACCCCCTGCCAGTTTTACATCTAGCCAATACCACACTTTCAGGAAATAATGCATATCGATAAAAACTATTCCAGGAAAAGGACAGAACAATCTATTTTAGCTGTGTTTTGTTTACATGGACCACTTCAGATTTCAGGCTTGAGAGAAGACTTACATGTGTTCAAATGATACCTTCTGAATGATGAGAAAGGATCAGTACTGCACTCTTAAGCATGTAGATAATTTAAAAATTCCATTTTATACGACCAAAACAATTTGTGCAGTGTATGTCAGAAAAAGACCTTGTATATTTGCAACCGAGAAGGTGGCGCATGATGTTTGAAGGATTCAAAGGCTGTGTTAATATCTCAGCGACAGGAGCAAGCTGCAACTATTGTGATGGAACTTTGTAGCAAACGTTCTTCTGCCCAGATGACATGGATTCCTGATAGATGGTCATTTGCTTTTTTTTCCCCTCGTGGTGGCATGAGCAAAACAACGCAAGGCAACAAAAGTGCACTAATAGCACCCAGATTTCAAGTTCTTTGACTGCTGTTTTGAAATTTCTAAACATCTTCATCAGTCTATTCAGACTGTCAACCATTCCCAGTGCCTCTGAGACCCTTGCCTCTTTTTATTACCAATAATGCTATGGATCAACCATGTGTTCTTGTTGTTCATGAGTAAATGGGTTAGGGAAAGGATCAGCACCTTTTTTCAATCTGTCACTTTAGGGTTTGGAAATCTTCATTCAGTGCAGAATTGTTTTTTGCACCATCATGACAAAATTGCCCAGTGATGTTTATCATTTGGCCAAGATTCCTTTCAGCTAAGTTGCAATAATTAACATTTGTCTGTGCATCCTGGAATTTCACAAGGATCTCACTCTTTTTATTTGTACAGTATTCCAAAAGTGTAGATCAACCCTGTAAAGAGACATTCTTTACCCATTTTAATTCCTTTGATTAAGACTTCACCTGGGTATAATGGTGCTTCTTTTGGGATCTTTTGTAAAAGCTGGAGTCTGCAGAGGAGTTTTTCAGCCTTCACACAGATAGTAGAAATCCTGTCATTTGATCTTCAAGTAGCTGGAAACAATAGCACCAATGGCAACAGAGAACAGATCAATATGAATTTGAAAGTAAAATTTATTTTGCAATACATTTTTGTCATTACTAGATGTCACAGACAACACTTTGGGATAGAAATAGCTTTTTCAAAACTTAAAAATGGATCTTTCAGTGAGCTCCCCACTTCTGTTAAAGAAAAATCTTGGGCATACTTTTTTTCTGGGCAGGATATATAAAATATTGTGTGAATATTGTTTATGTATATTGGAATCAAAATTCTTGATGAATACAGATAACACGCCTTTATTATTATTTTTGTTGGTATGCTTCCTTTTAAAAAAATGCTGAAATTTAAAAGGCTGGTTGGAATAGCCTGTGCTGATCAAGTTATCTTATTGGCACTTTGCCATATCTTAAGGACATTACAAATCTTCAGATCATTGAACCAATCCAATTACTGCAAAAGATAATTTAATGCATGTTGCATATTGCAGTCCCAGTGAGAAGATCAGTACTTTCAATGAGCACTGCATACAGCAAGTGTGGTGCGGGGGGGGGGGGGGGGCTGGGAATCTACCCAGCCAAAATTGTGTTGAATTCCACTGTGAAATCCAGTATATTCTACATGTTTCTGGCCCACATAGTTGCACAGATAAATCTAAAACAGTATTGGAATCTTTGTGGACCAATTATGGTGAAATAGTCCAAGTTGAATTCCAAATATCAGGGCATTGAAATTGGCTAACTCAGCCTATCCTGGGTCCTGGCATTCATTTTACTACTCTCCATAACCACTTTTCACATGTTCATATCCAGGCCTTTCTCCCCACTCCCCTCTCCTCCCCTCCCCTCCCTCCCCTTCACAAAATCAGTGTTCCACTGATACTACTTCTATTTATCCATATTAGACAATTGATAGTATTCTTAATGAAACCTGCAGCAAATTTATACATGATACCAAAAATATTTGTCTGCTGAAAAGTAATATACCATAAGTGACTAAAAGTTCACAACTCTGATAGAATGAAATTTGGCTTGAAATTAAATGAAAATGTTTCCAGCTACGTCCTCCATATGGAAACAGTGAACAAAACATACTATCATTGTGTTTGGAATATAAAATCATTGTATTTTTTTTTTCTTTAGATACAAACTAAACAATATTTTTCCATTTTAGATAGAACTGTATGTTGTAAGCAGTGCAATATTTTCTTAGGAATTGTTACATAGTTCTTAAACTTCTTTGCATAATAGCATCATTAGCAACCCCAGTATTGGGTTGATGATCAGTCATCTTTCTTTTCCTTTGCTTCCAAAGTTATTTTTACAGACCACTTTGCATCTAGTGTACCAGTTTTCATGTTTCTTTTCTCCTTCCCTGGCTGGTTACTACTCCGCAAGAGTGCAATGATGATAAAATGTGCGATTAAAAAGTGAATGTTATCCTTCTGGGCTACTTGCAGGAGAATGATAATCTTAGATTTGTATTATATTTCTACGTTCTGTGTTTAGTTTTTACACTTTCTTCTGAAGTCTCTTCAGTCTAAAAAAGTCTTAGAAATTAATAAATAAATCTGCAAGATGTCATGGCTCCTGATAACCAGAAATAATAACCACAACAGGTTCAAGAAGCAGACACTTACTTTCTCATTTTTTAAAGAAATTGCCTTAAGGAAAGACAGGAAGCCAAAAATGGATTATTGTTCACAGTATGCTTTCATCAGCAGGAAAGGTCACAAATTCCTAGTTCAACCTGCATCCTTGGAGATATGTTGTTCCTTAATTATAAGTAAATGGCCACTTTTCGCACTTTCTTTCCAACCCAAACAAATGCGGGACAGAAATTCTGTAAAGGGGCTTGGGCTTCCATCAACAGGATAACTCTCCAAAAACAGAATAGAACAATGACTCTAAACAGTGAATAGAATGGGAGCAAATTTGGTGTTGGGGGAGAATAGAAACTTTGGTCAAAAATGGGCCAAATCTGGCTGGCCAGGAGCTGTGAAGACAGAAATTCAAGAGGAAAAAAAGGCCTCCACTTTGGGAGAGGCAGTTGGGCAGTTGCTTGAAATGTGGTTAACTCCTCCATTCTAAGCCCCCCCCCCCCCACCG